ATATTAACAAGTAATGAGAAATACCTTGGTAAAAGTTTCCTCATAACCTTGTGTATGAGAGATGTGGGAGAAGCTTAATTCACTTTAAGCTCACTCCTAKAATCACAATAAACGTCACAAAGTATCTGAACCAGGAAGTGTGGTTTTAACTCTTGGTTTTAGGCACCAGAACCTTTCTCTAAAAGGCGTTAAGAACCAGCCGGTGTTCCCACACGTCACACAAACATCTGAGTTCATTTCCACCATCGGCTGCAGATTCCTGACACTTTAATGAAAGACCTCCACGCACCTAAACACGCCTCTTTGATCTCCGTCTTGTCCGTCCTCTGAATGATCTTCACCACAAAGATGACGGCCAGCGGGGTGAGGAAGGAGATGGCCTACGAGAGAATGAAGAGAAGGGGACGGTTAGGCAGCGCTCCTCTGGCTCTGTTCCTCAGGTTCATTGTTAAAGACTCTGTGACCTGAACTCGTCTCTTCTGAGCCAGATGAGCCTCTTTGTTGTTCTTTCTGCTCAAACAGAACCTGATAAAAGATTTGAGCCCCTCAGCTCAGAGTAATTACTGCGAGCACACAAAGAATTAAATCATTTAAAGTGATTTAGTGTTTATTAATCTGCCTTAAGGAACAAATGATTTAAGTTTAACACTGATTGTTTATGATAAAATAATTTAACTACACTGATGCAGATGTTGGTGAAACACAATCACACACACACACACACACATACATATACTGTGTATATATACAGTGGTTTGCAAAAGTATTCATACCCCTTGAACTTTTCCATATTTTGTCACATTACAACCACAAACATAAATATACACACACACACACACACAGCTCACCTGGAGGAGACACCTGCAGGCGGACGGTGCAGAGGGGATCATATTTCAGAACAGATCTCTTGTTGCGGTTTCTTCCTGTCTGGACCACTCTACACACATATGTTCCAGTATCTGCTGTCTTCACGTTCCTCAGAACCAAAGACACGTCTCCATTCTTCATCTGTCTGTCCTGAAGATCCACTCTGTTCTTAAAAGATGGATGATGAACATCTGGATCAATCTGATCATCTCTGAACAGAAGAACATTCTGTGGCTCCAGATCAGTTCTGTCCCACTCTACAACTACAACAGGTCTGCTGTCATCAGAGCTACATGGTAGAGTGATCTTCTGTCCAGGTTCAGCTGAGATGATCTTCTGATCTACAGGAGAGGAAACACAGAGCAGACAGGTCAGAGGTCAGAGGTCAGAGTGGAACAGTTTAGTTCTGGGAGCTTAAAGAGACCAGAAAAAGGAGACCAGGACCTGTATTTATCAAACTTCTCAGAGTGGATTTTTAGACTGAAGAGCTGAAAATGTCTTAGATGAACTCCGACTGTCAGACTGAAGTGTCAGTGTCAGTTATCAGAAGTCTTCAGTCTGAGAATCAGTCTGACTCTGAAGAAAAGTTCAGACTGATCCAGAGGACTCTGAACTGATCCAGAGGACTCTGAACTGATCCAGAGGACTCTGAACTGATCCAGAGGACTCTGAACT